AGGATATGAAGAGAGTTAAATCATAGTTGCATCTATAAAATATACACTGATATGTGTGTGTGTGTATACATATATACATACACACACACACACACACTTATATATTTATATTCATGCATTTGTAGGTACTCTCCAGTCATTTCTATGGGAAAAACTCTAATCTCAACAATAACCTTTAACCCCCACCCAGCCCTAACCTTAGTCATAAATAACCAAAGAAAAAAGACTTTCAGCATTTTTAGTTTTTTGAGTGCAGTCACAGATTTTTATAACACTGAACTTTCCCTTGTGGGGACCGAAAAGGTGATCACCATAGCATTAAAACAACCAGTTTCTATCATATTCTGGGGTAATTTGGTCCCCACATTGAAATATCTGCATGACCCACACACATACGGATCAGCCACAACATTAAAACCAACTGGGAGGAAAAGGTAGTAACATTGTTTATCTCTTTATAATGGTACCTCTCAAGGAGGCCATTATATATTAAGCAAGTGAAGTTCTTTAAGTTGATGTGCAGGGAGCAGGAAAAATGGGTATGCGTAAGAATCTGAGTGACTTTGACAAGAGCCAAATTGTGATGGCTAGATGACTTGGTAAGAGCATCTCCAAAATTGCAGGTCTTCTGTGGATGAGTAATAGTGAAGGTGTTTCTAAGGAATAATTGCTTACTTTCTTAGAAAGTATACAGTTATATCTGAGCTATTACCAACCTCGATCGATCACAACTACAGTACATGGTACTTAATTGACTTAAAGGGTAATAGTGGAGATTTTTCTATGTATTTCAGCTGTAGTTTCTCTGTAAATACTTACTTTTTATCTTATTAAACAATAATATACTATAATATACTGTGACCATGAATAGGACAAGTGGTTACAGAAAATGGATGGATGGATGGCTGGATACTATAATTTATCATATATTTAGGGGGTTCTTACTTAGTAATTAGGGGACTGTAAAACTAGTTCCTGTGTTTCTTAAATATAATTAATTTCACCTGTTACTTGTTGTCCTGTGCCTTTAGTCATTGGTTGATTTTGTTATGGTCCACACCTGCCCCTTCTTAGTCCTTCTTTCCCTGTGTATTTACTGTAAGTGTCTGCCTTTGTTCGTTTCCTCGGTCAGTCATTGTAGATGTTCTGCTTGTTAGTAGTGCTGTTGGTTGCCCAGTCTTGCTTCCCGTTTTGCTCTGTTCCCTAGTGAGTTACTTTGTGGCTCTTTTAGTTAGTTCTTATTTTTCCTGTTTGTTCTTGATCCCTCATTTTTTATTTGATAGTTTTCCTCTTCATGTCCTCTTATGGTTAATAAACTCCATTTATTGGTTAGCTGCCTTTGTTTGAGTGAGATTGTCACTCTTTCTCTGCCTGTGCTACACACCTTCGTGACACGTGTATGTCATAGAATCGTTAACAAGGGCCACAGTGCACATGTGTATGTTATGGAATCATCATCTTGGGCTGCAGTGCACATGTGTATGTTATAAAATCATTAACACAGGCCACAGTGTGCATATGTATGTTACAGAGTCATGAACATGGGCCACAGTGCACATGTGTATGTTATAGAATCATCATCTTGGGCTGCAGTGCACATTTGTATGTTATAAAATCATTAACACAGGCCACAGTGTACATATGTATGTTACAGAGTCATGAACATGGGCCGCAGTGCACACGTGTATGTTATATAATCATTAACACTGGGCACAGTGAACATGTGTGTGCTATCGAATCACAGTATAATAAAATATAAATATAAAAGTGCAGACAAGGCCAGGCTATTAGACAGAAGGCCTTCAGACTGATGTGGTGTTCAGTGACGTCAGCAAGCCCCATTATTACAAATCAAGTTGAAAGGAATACCAGGAAAACAGGACAATAAATGCAGTGAGCTGTAAAAAGAGCATTCTGAGACTACCTGCTGAGACTAAGATTATTCTTCCTACATCCCTAAGTAGGCTTTCAATGTGCTCTCTGACTGACTGTATTAATGGCTTATTATATTCTCTGGTCCAATCAGAGCCTTTTCTCCATTTTAAGTGTGAACCTACCATTGGGAATATAAGGCACCGCAAAGAGGGGCACAGTGAAAGCATTAAACATGAAGAGTTTTCTTACCAATATGTAACATACATTCCGATTTACAATTATTTGTCCTTTAGCAACAACAAAATCATTGGAAATTAGCATTTCCTATAGAGGAGGTGTTTTCTGCCACTGAAACAAAATTAATGAATTTTAAATAGATGTTCATAATCATGTTTACTGTTAAAATATATTACCTGATCTATGTAGTTCCACCATTTCAGAAACTGAAAATGTGTATAATCCATCCATCCAACTCGTAACAGCTTATTCTGGTCAGTGTCATGGGGATCAGCTATATACCTTTTTTCTTACTTTGATATTTGTCTGTTTGTGTACTGTCTATTATGGCATTGATCGGTCTGGGGGAATGGCATTTCATATTTTATTTATATGAATACACTATACTCCCATTAGGTATATGCCCATTAGGTTTACTCCCATTAGGTATTGCCTCATTAGGTATACTCTTGTCAGTTATACTCCCATTAGGTATAGCCCCATTAGGTATACTCCCATTAGGAGTAGCCCCATTAGGTTTACTCCCATTAGGTATAGCCCCATTAGGTATACAGTACCACACAGCATAGTAAGCGGCAGCCTCACCAGTGTGTGAGGCCCTGTCCACATTCCATTACTTTGGTTCAAATGTTAATTTAAAGCAATACAAATCAGCTATTTGAGGTGTAAGTCTGTAAAGCGAACTGGACAGTTTTTGGTGGTGTTACTCAAAACTGTTGCTCTCGTTTTGCCAACTGATGCGAATGCCATATGGAGTGTCACCGAGGCTCAGGTGCCTTAGCCAGCACTAATTATCCAATCAGAGACTGACGAAAGGCTTATTAATTAACACTGCAAAAACCCACTTAAACCCTAGACCACATGCAGCCTCCAGGCAAAATTAGCTTATATACTAGCCCTCTACTCTGAGTTTAGCAAAATATAATGACCTGCAGTGGCAGGTGGCAGCGAGTCAGAGATGGACTTCCTGTTTAGCCAGTGCTGACCATTCACAACCTGTTTGAATTTTTTCCCAGACCAAGGTCTGTGTGAGTTGTTGTGTTCAACAGCGAAAAATTACATTTAGAATACGAGGCTGCATTGCATTGATTTAACAATATTAACAAGCAACATTTATTTTAAAAATCTATGAATGTTTATAAGATGGGGTTAGCAGAAATCATTAACTCAATCGTTTTATTGAATGCCAGCTATTTTACAGCCAGGCAGAATTTAAATGCAGCCAGGTCAGCTTGGCCTTCCTCTGCTTCCTCTCCTCTTCTCTGTTACAGCTGCGATCCTCTGTCCTTCAGCATTGGACTTTATAGCCAGAGTCTCCATTCAATTTCATTTGAGCAGCCCCCAGTTAAAAATCAGCTCTCCACAAATGTGTCTGTACACCCCCCCACCACCCGCAGGGCCCCCCCTTCTGTCTTTACCCCATGGCTAAAAAATAAAGTGAAATCTCTTTAATCTGAGGCTATTGTGTTTTTTTCTTGTGAATGAAGAATATTTTTGGGATGTAAGTTTTAAAGGACGATGATGATCAGGATGAAGCTGATAATAAGGATGATGATTATAATGATGAATTATTAAGATGATGAATATAAGGATGGTGATGAGGATGGTGATCAGTGGTACTTGGAAGATGGTGATGTGAAGGTGATGATAATGGTGATTATAATGATAATCAGGAGGAGGAGGATGGTGATGATGGTGAAAGGGTGGAGGATGGTGGTGATGATGATGAAGAGGAGGATGGTGATGATGAAAAGGATGGAGGAGGAGGATGGTGACGATGGTAATGATGATGAAAAGGAGGAGGATGGTGATGATGATGAAGAGGAGGAGGATGTGATGATGATGAAGAGGAGGATGATGATAATGAGGAGGAGGAGGGGGATGGTGATGATGATGAGGAGGATGGTGATGATGATGAGGAGGAGGGGGATGGTGAGGAGGAGGGAGGGATGGCGATGATGAGGAGGGAGGGATGGTGATGATGATGAGGAGGAGGGGGATGGTGATGATGAGGAGGAGGAGGGGGATGGTGATGAAGATGATGGTGATGAAGAGGAGGATGGTGATGATGACGAAGAGGAGGATGGTGATGATGATATTAAAGAGGAGGAAGGGCATGGTGATGATGAAAAGGAGGAGGAGGATGGTGATGATGGTGATGATGAAAAGGAGGAGGAGGATGGTAATGATGATGAAAAGGAGGAGGAGGATGTTGATGATGGTGATGAAGGTGACAAAAAGAAAGGTAGCCACCTGAAGTTCCCTTAAGGCTTTTCTGCATGGACAGCAGTTTCTCAGCAAAAGCATTCGATACGGTCCTCTGGTCCATTTCCTGGGCCCTGCTCCCAATTTTATTTACACAGTTTATTTTCAAACTAATTACTGTTCCTGCTTAATAAACCTCTGGGCCTGGACCAGTATCTGGGGATTAAAGCTTGGCTGTAGGGTTGTCTCCAGATCCCAGGCCACTGCACAAGGCACCATCCAGTTTGATTAGTACGCCAAGTTCAATAAAAAACATAACACAGATTTGCTACTAAATCACTAACTGTCATAAAGGACAGTACAGCTTTGCAGCACGTGGTAAATCAGGTCTGGACTCTCATAAAACAGTGCTGCTGTGTGTTTTGCCATTAATTACATCATTTTTATTATTCCAACCATACTGAAATACTGGACATGGTTCAAAGTATTGGCAGCTATAACACTGGATAAAGAACACCAAAATAAATTAATAAAATATTAGGGCTGCAGTATACCACATTGCAGTTATATAGCAGATGCACAATAATCACTATGGGTTTAGATGATGGGCATAAACAATGGTCTGTGCAGCGTCTTTTTGGCACTATATGGACATTATTTTCGCCCACAATTCGATAAGCAAATTAGTAGTATGCCTAAAATGTTAATGAGAGGCATATTGTGATGCTCAAAACTTAGTAATCTGTATAAATTCAGCGTATCCTTATATTTTCTAAAGGTGTCAGAATTTAAACTGCAAAACAATAAATGAATACAGATTACTTACTTTTGAGTGTCACAATACACCTCTTATTAATATTTTATCTGTACTACTATTTTGGGCAAAAATGTCCGAAAAGCTGCTATCTGGACAAATGTTCACGCCTGTCATCTTAAGCCTTGCGCCATATACTTGCGATTATGTTGTGGTGTGATATCGTGCAGCCCTATAAAATATTAAAGCTTAACAGTGCAGGTTGTACAAATTAGAAAACTAAATAAAGAAATTAAAAAACGTATTATGATATCATGGACAAACTTTTGCAGAACGGTTTTCCAGAAGGTGGCTCTTGCTTCTGAGGGAAATTAATAAAATTAGCTGGCAGTTAAGCAGTGAAATACCCAGAGTGCCTACAGGGATCATGAATCACAAATGCAGAAAAGGAGCACATCTATAACACTGAGATCTGACAGTGATTTAATAAGAGTGAACTCCCCTAATCAGTACATGTCTTTGGCAAAGGTCAGCATGTGGAATGATCATAACCAAATGGGATGTTGATCACTTGCCGTTCACAATGTACCTTTTCCCATTAAAAATAAGCCAATTTTTACAGAACAGGACAAGGTATTCCTGAAATTTAAACGTCGTTGGTGCCACATGACATAAAACAAGATTGTTAAGGCCTCTTTTCTAGGTTATTTTTCCCCAATACAAAAGTCTTTCTTATAGTTTACTGAATGAAGAACTTTCACAAACATTTTATTTTATAAACCTTGCAGGGATGAATAGTGATTAGAAAGCAGAGTTCTCATAATTACTCATCATGGTAATTGGATTACCAGAGTGCTTCTGCCATTTGCTACAGGCAAACAGAGATAATTTCAGCATGTCAGACTGTTTTTTTTATCAATCTGATAACAGCATATGGATTTCAGTTTGTAAGTGGTAAATTGTAGCATTAATACTTACATGGTGTTCATTGCAGGTATGCTCAGTTCATACTTGCCCTTTAAGAAATTATATATAAAAACATACTGACTCATAGTCCATCATTTTCACAGTTTATATTGCAATATTTGCTCAGTGGTTAGAATGCGGTGCCTGTGATCGGAGGGTCACCAGTTCAAATCCAGTAGTCAGCAGAGTGACGTCACTGTTGGGTCCTTGAGCAAGGCCCTTAATCCCCAGTTGCTGCAACAGATGTGCGCCACTTTGGATAAATGTGCCTGCTGAGCAAATAAATGGAAATGCAACTATGAAAGTTATTGCATATTATCAACTGGTTAAATGATATTGTCTGTGCCAAAACTGCCCTCCACTTGCAGGAAAATATGTATTTTTATTTAGATGGTTTGATTCTATGTGAAAGGTAAAGGTCTTGCTTTCATCCAAATGATTGTGTCATATCAATGGTTCTCCCCTGTGTTATAGCCATACTCGTCTGCTAAAGCTACAGGCACTGGGCCATTAGCTGAACAGTATCTGCCTCAGCTGAAGCCTGTATCTGCCTTGGATGAAGCTCTGCCATGGTTGAAGCCTGTATCTGCCTCAGATGAAGCCCGTATCTGTCATGGCTGAAGCCTGTATCTGCCTTGGATGAAGCTCTGCCGTGGCTGAAGCTTGCATTTGCCTCAGATGAAACTAGTGTCTGTCATGGCTGAAGCCTGTATCTGCCTCAGATGAAGCTCTGCCTTGGCTGAGGCCCATATCTGCCTATATGCAGCTGCCTATAGCTAAAGCCGATTTTTGCCTCGGATGAAGTCCGTATCTGTACTCTAAGTTAACAATGACCAATGATTGTTATTGCATTTATTGTTATATCATCAAATATTAATACAGGATAATGATCACCATCACTGTCACGCCCTGCCTATCTTGTGAACCTTACCCTCCTGGTCTCCTCCCTGGCGTGAACATAATGAGCCACACCTGGTATCTATTAGTCTCCTCATATTCTTGCCCTTCTGTCAATCACTACCAACTGCCCTGTGTTTGCCCATTCGTTAGTCTGGTATTTATTTCACAGACCTGTGTTCTCCAGTTGTCTTTGTTGTCGGTTAACCTGCTCCACACTCCTGAGCTTATTTACCCCATGACTAATAAAGTTGCCTGCAAACTGTTTTGCACCACACCTGGGTCATACTTACCTCCAGTAGGCATAACAATCACATATTCTGAATGTAGCAGAAGTTGTTTCTGCTGAGTACAGATGAGTAGTATTTCTGTTTCATCAGCATGTTTTTGCTAATTGCTCAGCTTAATTACACTCTTCCTGTATTATGTATTGTTTGCATACACATGGCACTATGGACAGACACCCTTATACAGCTCTGGGAAAAAAAAAATCTTGGTTTAATCCTGGTTTCGCTGGCAGAAGGCTACACTGAGCAGCAGGTTGCTTCCAGGTTCAAAATTTCTAAGACAGCAGTACACAAGAAAAAGGTGCAAGAAGAGACACAGGGGGTTTAGGTGATCCAGGAAGCAGGATCTGGTGCAGACCTCAGGTGATCCTGGAGGCAGGATCCAGTGCAGGGCTGGCTGATCATAGAGACAGGATCCAGTCCAAGAACGAGTGATCCCAGAGGAAGGATCCATTGCACGGCTCAGGTGATCCTGGAGAAACACAGGACGTAAGGCAGAAGACACATTCATCCCCCTAGCTCTGCCCATTCCTGAAAATGTCTTTTCCATTAGCTTCCATGCTCAAAACTCCACAGTTAACCCTTGCCCAGGCCTCCTGGGGCTGCTTTAATAGCCGTTATTACAGGAAATCAGGTCCAAGCTTGCTGAGCAGCAGCTGAGCTGCATCCATCTAGAACCCCGGTATAATTGTTTGTAAAAGGATGTTTTTATCCAGTACATTGGTTAAAATAAGAACCTGTGCGACTCATTTAGTTGGCATTGTACTGCTTACTAGAGATCTCGAGCTACATGGGGATGATATTTATCCCCATCCACCCCCACAAGCATCTAACCCATCCTCACTACATCCCCACATGCAGAAAATACATCCCCATCCCATTCTTGCATGCACAAAAACCATCGGCACATACGCAAAACCGTCCCCAACCCCATCCCTGCATTCACCAACACACCAACAGTACGGTGTAAAATTAAACATGTCCAAAGTTGCTTTTAAATATCTTAAATTACTCACTTGACACTGTCACCAGGTAGTGTGGGGTGAGGGCAATTAATTAGCAGAACAAAAGGACGTATCATTAAAGCTAGCTGTAGCTAGCTAGCCAACTATAATTTACTATAGCAAATTACATTTTCAATTAAATTTCCCAATATGAACATGCTAGTGTAACAGGAAGGAACTAAAGTGGATGGCAATTGCCCAGGGAGGACTCAGTTTTGGCGGAAAAGAGCAGTTGCCACGCGTTTGTTTTTGAAAAGGAAAAAAAAAGTTATTAAATGGGGGCACGGTGAGTCACTCAGACAAAGCCGTCCGAGTACCAGTATTATTGTTTAATTAAAACGTGCTTCATACAATCACCTTAAGTTCAGATAATACGATAGTTTGTCAGCTTTGAATACTAGGAATACCCACGTTCGTTGTTTGCATTCATTATGATAACGCTTGTGTAACCGGTCCGCCTTGCGGTCGGTTATCCCTTCTTTCCCTCTCTGCGTTGTGTAATTAACATAAATGACGACTC